TCAGGCGCTCATTAAGACAATGAAATCGAAGCAAGAGGCATTTTCCCACCGGTTTGCAACTTTTAATCGAATTTTTGTTATTTGGCTCAACACCTTTTATGTCCATATAAATACTGGTTTCCGTCTGAATTTGACTGAAAAACGTTAAATAAAGGCACAAGGTATGAACTTTTCAGTTTTTAAGAACTCTCGAGCTATGAAAGTTACCACACTTTGGCGGCCATTTTCTCGCTAATTTTATCACTGAAGCCAGGCGACACCAACCTCTTCAACAGCAAAGATCTCGTCATCTATTCAAGATAGATGGATTTTTTTTCTCCATTGAACGCAAAGCAAATTTGAATAAGCTTTTATGGGATACCGATAAGTTGACATGCTCAAAAATTGACGAGCGCTTGATTCCACCGCGTCGTGGCACAAATTATTGCGATTGTCAGTGAGCACTCGGTATAACTCAGCTACAAAAATTTGTGATTCTACAGTCTGCTACTCTGTAGGTCTGTCTGTAGGTTTGTCTATATGTCAATGTGTACGTCTAGTGCCTTTATGTTTTCCCATGTATCCGCCTGTAGTCTAATGGTTGCCCCACAAGTATCTGTTTATCAAAATAGTTGTGAAAGAGGAGCTTAACTTCACTGAAACTTTGAATACACTTACAGACAAATGGAGTCGAGTTTCGATGGTATGAAAAAGTTCTGTGCAGAACAGAAGAAAATAGAAGGCGCGTTTGTATGAAATATACGCTGACAGAGAGCTAACTGTAAACGATCCTATTATAAAATGCCTTAATCATTGGCTAAGTAGCTGAACATTTTGGTAAGGACTTCGTTCATCGCTGAATCTTGTGTACAGATTGTGCACAATGATAATGATTATACTTTACCTTAGAAGTACTGAAACTTTCATCTCTTTATTTTTTAAAAGATACAATCTTATATTCTGTAAGCTGCTTAGAAGCCGTACTAGCAGCATATCAACAGCGGATTTCTGCTGAATAAGTATATACTCTTGGCATTGCTCAAAACACAAAAAAGAAAAATACAGTATCATTATTTAGTTGTTGGGTACATTGCATTGATACTAAGAAGATGAATACCAGTGATTAGTATCCCCCCCCCCCCCTTTTCTCTCTGACAAAAACAAATTTTAGTTGTGCATGTACACCGCTTCTAGATTTTATAATTATTTCATATTGATGGACAGTTTTGTGTAATGCATACACATATATCGGAAAATAATCACACTCAAAGAAAGGGGCTCTCGTGGCCTAGAGGTTAAGGTGTTCACCTCTCATTCAAAGGTCCCTGGTTCGAATCCGGGTAGCGAAGGAACAATTTTCTTCTCTAAAATTGTCGCCTTTCACCTCCTTTCCTGCTCTCTAGCAATATTCTGTCGTCTGCTTTCATCTCCACTTTCTGCCACCACTTCCTTTGCCCCCTCCTCTGAGCTCCTGACTCTTTCTGCAGCCTTTCTACTGCTACTCCTTAGCTCCTTCTTACTGCTGTCTTTCAGACACACCCCTGATCTTCTGGTAGGAAAGATCTACACCTAACCTCCTCGGACAAGGGCGAAAAATCTGGGATTTTATAGCAAGTAGCGTACGTTAAAGGTCCCTTGGTGGTCTAAAATCGATGAGAGTAAGCTTCGGCGCTACCCGGGCAAATTCCAAATTTTCCAACAAACTGAAAATGTTTGGCGTGTCCCACGCGCTCGTACGACCTTATACCGCTGAAAGCGCCGTAAAATACTTACCAAACATTAAAAAAAAGAAAAGAAACACTCGAAGAAAGTATTCAATACCGCTTATTCACTGCCCAAATTACACCTATATAATAATATGCTGGCATGGCCAGATTTCTTTGGCAACACCCACTTATCATCTCATTACAGGGTCAAGGTTTCTGAAGAGTGGTCTTCCCCGATGATTATGGGGATCAAGCTCTCTGAAGAGGGGTGTGTGTGTGTGTGTCTGTGTGTGTGTGTGTGTGTGTGTGTGTATGTGTGTGTGTGTGTGTGTGTGTGTGTGTGTGTGTGTGTGTGTGTGTGTGTGCATGTGTATGTGGTGAAAGGGGTAAGAGGGGGGGGGGTGGGAAGCAAAGCGTCTGGTCTTTGAAAGATTTTGGCCACTCTGGAGCAGAGAGGCAATCCAGCCTGCAATGAAACGAGAGTTTATCCTTTCTCATCTTACGAAAGAGAATTTGCCTTAAGAAAGTGAAAACATTCCCTGTCTGGGGAGGATTATAGGGATTTTCTAAACGCTTAAGTAAAGACTGAAACGATATTTTCGGCTTACTTTAGCAATACAATTCGTACTGTGTATTAACTGCTACATTGTGCGCACTGGATACTTTTACAAAGTTTCATTGCGTTAATTCTTCTTTCATGCTACATTATGGGACTTGCTAGCCTCAATGAACGATTTTCCTGTCTCTTCATTTTGACAAAATGAGAAAGTGGTACGTGTCCAGTTCTGCAGGGTGTACTATTCGGATGTATGTGTACAGGGTGAGTTTTATTGGGGCCTCTGAGTGTGTGCGTGTGTGTGTGTGTGTGTGTGTGTGTGTGTGTGTGTGTGTGTGTGTGTGTGTGTGTGTGTGTGTGTGTGTGTATCTTGACAAGCGGCATGTTGGCTACAGACAGCTGGCTGCTGTACGGGCATTACAGTCAGTTGATCAATACAGTTAATAACTATTTCATCTTATCCAAAAGTAGTTTTCAATTTCTACTTTTTTCTGTGTTTCTAGCAGGCGTCTGTGATGTAATGGATAGGCTCTTCCGCTGTTGCTCGCAGAAGACATGACTTCGATTCGTTTTAGTAAGTGTTTTACGGCACATTCAACATAATAAGGTACTATAAGTACTTACGATTAGAGGTATTACAAGAGAGTAACAAACGCAAAATAGAAGGACGGGAGATAAGGGCGATACGTCTTTGATAGGAAAGAAGGAGCAAATTGCACCAGAGCACCCGCCAACCGTTCCACAGATGTGACTTGGATTCACTGACTAGGAAGTTGTTACATAGAGAATCTCCGTAGGTCTGATTGGATTCTGTATCCCACTCAGCCTGGTTTGGATCTAAATGTTCAAACCTGTGTAGATTTTTTTCTTCTTAAACAGACGAAAGGGAGGGGTAGGGGCGGGGGTGGAGAGGAAATTAGCCAAATGAAAGTTCAAATCTGCGAATGTTTTTATTGTCTCTATCACTGTGTTCCTGGACAAATGTTGTCATAATCATGTATGCTCGACGTCTTGATACATCGCCTAAAAGAAGAGGTGTCACTTTGAAAGATGTTCCCAAGAGGGAGAGAGGGGAGAGAGGGAGAGAGACAGAGACAGAGAGAGAGAGAGAAAGAGAGAGCGATTACGAGTCCGGTAGCCTAACCGCTAGAATACCGACGTCACCTATTATGCTCAAACGGCAAATGAAAAATAGATATGTTATTTTTAAAAGAAAATTTATTAATTAACTTTGTTAAAGATGAATTACTACTATTATTACTATTCTTTTGGGGAAGGGGTATTTTACGGCACTCGCAACTGCATAAGGTCATACGAGCGCGCGGGACACATTAATCATTTCCAGTTTGGTAGACATACGTTTTGAATTTTGCCTGAGCTGCGCCCGAAGCCAACTCTTTACGGTTTTAGGACCACCCCAGGGATCATGAACATTTGCAACTTGCACACGGGACCTCCGATATTTTTTGCCTGTATCCGAGAAGGCTAGGTGTTTGATCTTACCTACCCTAAGGTCAGGGGTGCAACTAAAAGACAGCTGCAGCAGTATAGAATTCGAGGAGTAGCAGTAGAAAGGCAGCAGGAATAGTCAGGAGCCCAGAGGAGGGGGCAAAGGGAATGGGGTTGGGGGTAGGGAGGAACGGGACAGAAAGACGAGACGAAAACAAGCGATAGAACACAATTAAAGAGCAGGAAAGGAGGTGAAAGGAGAACATTTTTAATAGGAATATTTCCGTCCCTGCAGGTTGAGAGCCCGGGACCTATTGAAAGAGAGGCGAACACCGTACATCTAAACCACAAGAGCCCCCTTATTTAATACACACACACACACACACACACACACACACACACACACACACACACACACACACACGCACACACACACACACACATTTATATTATATATATATATATATTTATATATATATACACATACATATTATATATATATTATATATATATATATATATATATATATATATATATATATATATATATATATATATATATATATGACGGTTATTTGCCGCGAGTGTGGGGAGGGGGGTCATAAGCATTAATGTATAAGGAATCCAAGCTCAGTGTTTAAAAGTCTACCACTTCCTCATACTCACACGTTATTGAGAAACCAAACACCACAACAACGTTTCATATTTCTTCCCTCAACTGCTTTTATCGTGAGCTCGGGTTTCTTATGACCAAAATATATACATTTACATCTATAATCTTTATTGCTCTTAAATATGTTTTTTGTCTGTTTGTCTGTCTGTCTGTCTGTCTGTCTGTCTGTCTGTCTGTTTGTCTGTCTGTCTGTCTGTCTGTCTGTCTGTCTGTCTGTCTGTCTGTCTGTTTGCCTGTCTGCCTGTTTGTCTGTCTGTCTGTGTCTATCTGTCATCATTTTTTCTTTCTTTCACTCTCTCCCCTTTCTTCTCTGTTGCTGTCTTTTAAAATTTATTTCTGTTTTGTTTTTTAAAATATTTTCTTCATCCTATTCTTTCTCCCTCGTTGTTTCTCCCCTTCACCCACCTTGAACCATCTTTTTCTCTTCCTCGTTTTTGACCCCCCCCCCCTTTCCCCAATTATGCATGCCTAAATCTCTCCCTATTCTAATTTCTGAAGTGTTTTGGACAAATCTTATACTTTCAACTAACTGTCAAGAGTTCCCCTTACCATCTGTGAAGTGTTTTTTTTTTGTCTGTCTTGTTTTTTGTCCATGTTTTTGTAATGACGTTCTCAAATTTCATTGGTATCGCTTACAGGCAATCCATTCGCACCACTAGCCTACCCACCACTACAAAGGGCCCCCACTACTGGTTGGCAAACAAATCAAAAGATCGTCTGGGTTCTCGACGTGCTCAGAAGGACACAAACACTGGTACCAGTCCAGTTGAAACAATATTACAATACTAAACACACACCTGAACAAACAAAATGGTTAAAAGTGTGAAGTGGAATTCGGAATGCAGTTTGCTGCACGAGTTATTTTTTTTCTGAAGGCCTGGGAAGTGTGAGTACGGATTATTTCTGACATAGACGATCAGGACATTTCAGGTTGATAAATTGTGTGAAGGAATACATTTGACGGATACCTGTTCCAGGATACTCGTCGACGGATACTCGTTTCACTATGCAAATGACAGAAGAACAATTAGAGCACTTCCGTTTGGAAGCTTTACGCTGCGCTCTGCTGATATCTCAGGGAG